TCAAGGACGCTGGGCTAGCTCTCAGGAAAAGCAGGTGAGTGGTTGAGGAGACTCCATGAACCAGCCGACTGGTGGGGTGTAAAGTGGCCACTGGCTTCCTTCTAGACAGGCACTGAGAGATACATGGAGTTTGGGTCCCCAAATGTCCTTTGGAAAGCTGTAATGTTCTTAGAGCAAAGGTCTCAGAAGAATCCAGGCCTCAGGGAGGGAGAAAATGCTTTTTTTTCATGAGAAGAAAGAGTAGAGAATTGGCTACAGGGGGGTTGCTCCCTCTGGCCCTTGTTTCAGGGTATTGATCTGGGTTTGAAGAATGTAGATAAAGCTTGTAGGAAGTAATCAGCACCCCTTCATTGCCTACTTCTGTCTCTTTCTCTAGGTTCAGCTGTGGTTGGGACCTGCTCATCCTGCCCCTAACCTCCATATTTCCAGAGGGTAGGAGAGGAGAAAGGGAACAACTATTTCATGCTGGGTGAGCTGAAAATAGGGATTTAGGTGGAAATTATCTCATGGGATAGGAGCAGTTTTCTCCTTCTCTATGTCTTTACAGATGTGAAACAACTGACAGATCCCACTTCCCCACCCCTAAGAACATAGGGCATCTTGAAGCCTGTGGCTCCATATTGTGTGTGTGTGTGTGTGTGTGTGTGTGTGTGTCTGTCTGTCTGTCTGTCTGTATGGAAAGGAAAGTCAGAAAAAAGGACCAGGTGTGTATTCAGGGGACCTAGAGGTTTGAGGGAGGCCAGCGTTTCCTTAAGGCAGGAGAGGCAGAATGTCCATTCTTCATCTCAGATTGCTTAGGTATTATGCCTGGGAGCCCTGCCACCTGGCCTTCATTCCTGACTCTAAAGTTTGACCAAGCTGCTTCTCTTGTTGGAGTCTAGTTTCCTAGTCTCCCCAGGAGCCAATCTTACCAGCACTTTGAAATCTGAGGCAATCTGAGGTTAGTGGGAGGTGGTCCTATTGAGTACAAATACTCTGTAAAGTACAACATGAATTGACTAGTAATGAGGCAACTTTTCCACAGATGGCCAAGTTCAAGGGCTGTCTTTAAGAGGTGCTGGGCCTCAGWTTGCTTGTTACAGAGGGCAGGGGCTAACTGAGGCTGCCTTCTGCCTCACAGAAGAGAAGGAAATAAACAGGGCTACTGAAGAGCAATGGTCACAATCAACAGTCTTAATTATGAATTAAAAATTTATAATTATTCCAGACTTGCAGATAAGCAGGAGCCCACTAAAATTATTTCACAGGGAGAAACATAGTCAGAGGTGGTGGGAAGGGGACCAGAGGCCATTATGGTCATTACTCTGCTTCCCAACCAGAACCTGGAAGAGATTCATTAGCTTCCTTGGCCATTCCTCCTAACACTACCCACCCCCAAACTTCTAAATACAGAACCACACTGCTTCTCTGTTCTTCTGGAGGCCAGAGGGTCATTTGTACCAAAGTGACCTCAGAATCCGGACTCTAGATTTCTGGAGTCTTTCTGTTCTCTGCTTCCCATTCTGCTATTTATATATGGGATCCCCTGCAAGAGGGGTTGGGGGGTCCCAAAGAGGTGTGGCCACCTTCCTGGGTCTTCTTCGTCTCCTTTGATAGGGAGTGCCTAGGCATCTTCCTATTGTGATGGAAGGTCTCTTCAAACTCTGTGTGAGAAGAGAGACTGGGAGCATCCTTTCTAATGTGAATGCCTTTGGTTCCAGGATCTGGATTTGAGGGACTGGCTCTGACATCTGCATAAGAGGGTTGGGAATATAGCTCAGTGGTAGAGCACTTGTCTAGCATGCTTGAGGCCCTGGAGTCTTATCCCCAACACCACAAAAGCCAAACACACAAACACACACAAAACAAAACAAAACAAAACAAACCTAAGTGGTACCAGTATTGGATAAGGGACAAGGTGCCTAAGTAGGAGTAGGTGGGCATACCCAACACCAGACTTGGTTCTCTACTTTTCCCCTCCCCAACATCATAATCCCAAATTCTTACACCAAGTGATTTAAAAATAGTTTCAAGGAGCTAAGAATCCCTCAGTCCCTCACAGCTCCAGGGTGTCTCTCTCTCTCTCTCTCTCTCTCTCTCTCTCTCTCTCTCAAAAAATAGGAGACTCCTGTTTTTCCAAATACACAAACACTTCCAAGACAAAGGACCCTTATCTTCTGACCATCCGGAGATCTTTGGTTACCATCTATGCTGTGACACTACCTCCTCCAAAATGCTAGAAGGAAGAGGGACCTGTTCTAGGGCCAAGGGGATTTGGGTTAGAAAGGAATTCCATTCCGGATCCTACCTTCCTTCCCCTTCATTTGCATCAAATATACATGTTAAACTAAATCTACAGGACTGGAGGAAGAGAGTTGGAACACCAGGACCCAGAAATGGCCTTGCCAAATCTGAGGGTACAAGAGCACACTAAATAAAACCTGGCTTTCTAGGCAAGGTGGAAGGTCAGCCAGACACACCCGCTGGCACGCTGTCAGCAATACCCTGCCCTTGGCTCAGCTTTATCCTTACCTGGCCGGCTTTTAGTCTCCAGAGGAGGATGGAGTAGGTCTGTAACGCAAGTTACCTAGAGGTGGAAAACACGTTATGTTTTTCAAAATGCCACTCATTTGGCCTTCAAATATGAGAAATCTCTAAACCTCTTCCCTAGCTTCCTCCTATTCTCTACCCTCCTCACCAATTCACACTCAAATCTTAGCTACAGAAAATCCTAAATGAAGGAGGACAAACCTTCCTGACCTACTATTTTGCCCCACCTGCAACCCCTGTCCCCTCCCCCCAAATTTTTTCTCTCCTGAGTCTTAGCTCTTCGCTTCTTTAAAAAAAAAAAAAAAAAACGAAGAAGAAGGAATTTTCAATAGTCCCACTTGTCAAGCGAAGACCATCTTTTAACCTTCAACAGCAGCGAAAGCCGTGTGAACTCTCGGTGAACCAAGATTGAAGTCATAAATCACGCGTACAAAGGCGGCTGCGGAGGCTGGCGCGGGCTGCTGCACCTTTAACGCTTTCTGGGGCTGACAGGCGGCGGCCCAGCTAAAGTTCACAGCGCCCGGGGAGGGCCCGCCCCCGCCTCCCCTCCCCCAGGCCCGGCCCGGCCGGCCGCGGCCCGGCCCGCCGCGCGGCCGCCTGCACGGCCMGGGGAGGCCTCTGGCTGTTCCCGCAAAGCAAAGGGGTGGAAGGCATTTTCGCTCCTGCCAGCCCGCTCCATCCCGGCCGATTATCCCCCTCGCCCCAGCCCGCCCCCGCTCTCCCGCCGCGGTCGGCTGTATTTAGATAGCAGCCACATCTACACAGACAAAATAATTTAGCTSGTTTTGTCTTTGGCATTTTCTACAGGACCCCACGAGATGGACTTTCCTCYCCGTCCTCCCTCTAGCACTGGGCATCCTTCATCCCTACGCAGGCCCAATGACCAGGATCCTTGGGCTTCCAGTAGGCTCTGAGTCATTGCAACTAGGAACACCTGGCTGAAACCCGTCCTAGAGTTAGATTTTATTTTTTCTTTACCTTCTCTTTCCCTTTTTCCTTTTCTTTCTTCCTTTCGTGTTTTTAAGAAGCGGTTTGGCCTCGACCCAGGGGTATCTGGGGTGGGAAAAGAACCATGCAACCACCAGCTATCAGCCCCCCAGGAGATGTCCAGGCTCTGTAGAGCCCGGACTTCCTTCCTTGCCTCGGCCTCGGCCTCCTCCTCCTCCTTCTGGATCGTTTTTCCCTCCTCCCACTGTATTTTCYTCGGTTTAATTAAAGTCCAGCGACTCCACTAGCCTCTCCTTCGCGTTTCTCTTGGAAAGAGGAAACCAGTCGGCCCATCCATCGACCACAGGCCGATCGGCCCCAGCACAACCCCAGCCTGCAGCCAGAGGGGCCTCCCCTCGCCGGCCTCCTTCACCCCCAACAACCTTCTCCCACACCCAAGTCTCCGGCCCCTCAGTCTTCCCGCAGGTGTGCAGCTACTTGGCCTTCGGGTCTGAACCACCAGGGCTGGGCAGGAGGAGTGTGCTCATCTTTCTCAGACCCTCAAATTTACTCCACAAAGTTTGGAGGGTGATTAGACCCTGRCCCATTCAGCTTGCTCCCCCAAACCCATGGTTGACTAATCTGATATGACAAAAGCCCATGATGGATTCGGTATATGTTAATTCACAATGCCCTTTCCTCCAGAATTTAACTATAAGTTAATATACACCGGAAACCACGCGCATACACGCTCGTTAATGGGCTTAGGTATTAGCGAGTCCTAACGATGCATACAAATGTGCTCTGCGCTCTGTAGGCCCCTCAAGATTTATGGGCCTTGAGCTCTCTGAAGCTGTAAACAAGGAGAAAAAAAAAAGAGAAAGCGAGAGAGACTGGGGGAAAGAGACAGAGGCCTGACTTGCCCCTCCAGATTGTGGGAGAGAAGGGATTCATACGTATTTTCTTTGCCTTGCGATCTCGGTGCGTGTGGGTTTTGGCATCGGTCTGGGGGTGGTGTTCTGCCTGAATGCTGGTGCGCGTGGGTAGCGTGCTGTTGGTGTGCTGGGGGATAGGAGAACGCCTGCCTCATTTGAATGGCTGTGCAGGGGCCCGAACCTAAGAGGCATTTGTGGGTATATACATGTGAGTGTGTGCACCGTGTTAGGTGTGTGTGTCTGTGCGGTCCCCATTCACTTGTGACAGACAGGCCTCCCTCTGGGCCAGGCTGTTGTCCCTTGAACCCGATGAACAAATCTCTAACAATCATAATAACAATAAATAACAATAATAAAAGCAGTAGTTCAGAGTTCCACCCTAGTAGGGTAACAATAAAATGCCCAGGAGATATTTGGAGGAGGGGGCAGAGGAAGGGGTCACTATCACAGGATCTCAGATGAAGACTAGAAAGGAAGTTAGCTTCTTTAAATGCCCTGGGGGCTGGCGCTGGGAATCCCCTCCCTAGACGGAGCCCTCTGACCAGAGGAGGAGAGGAAGAGCCAGGAGGCCACTCTTTCCTGCTTCTTTTTCCATGTCTTTTGCTTTGAACGAGAAGGAAAGGGATCCCACTTACAGGGTGGTTAGTAGCTTTGGGGACTCTCTGGGATCCCCTGTCTTAATGAGAAGGCCAAAGGTGCAGGGTCAGGCCAAAGGACCGAGTTAAATGAAGCTCTGAGCGCAGCCTCGATCCCCGCGGCCCGGGMGGCAGAGGTGCCCAGGAGGACTAGCCGCGGGGCCGGGCGGGAAGCAGAAAAATATTTATGGCCGCCCGGGCCAGGAGAGTGGGGAGAACTGCAGAGCGAAGGAAGCCGGGGTTTCTGCAGGCCCAGGGAAAGTTCCCTTCCTAGAGTCTTTTTWAAAAGAAGACGAAGGGAAGAGTTGAAGCGCCTTGAATTTTCCTTCGGGAGCGTGGAGCCAAGCGGATTTCCGCAAAGGAAGCGAAGACCACAGTCCAGGGTCCTGCAGTGTCCACCTCATTCTCTCCAGGTACAGCTTTCTGATAATTTTATCAATTAATTTGTTTGGGGGAGGAGGGAGTCAGAGGTGTAGAGAGGTACGACGTTTGCGGGAGAGGAAGCCGCCATGCAGTTTCGGGTCTAACGAAATCCTTCCTTTAAAAAAATTCTCCTCCCCCAAAAATAAGATCAGAAAGAAAAATATATAAGAACAAATATCAACCAACTTTTTAAAAGAGAAAAGAAAAGAAAATGACCATAAACTAGGAGCATGAGAACTTCTAAAAGATTTCAATCACAAACCTTTTCAGAGGTTTGGATTCTTTTTCAACCGCCCGTGGCCCATTTGGTCTGAAAAGAGATACGCCATCCACTGAGTCACCGCTTTAAGACCAAGGCACACAAAGATTCCCGAGAGCGCCCAGGGCGTCCTCGAATTGGGGAGGGTACTGTGATTAACACAAAATAGCAATCAAATAAAATAAAATACAATTAAACAGGCTGAAGCGCTGCGCGCAGGGCGCAGGGAGAGCGCCCAGGTCTTGAGTTCCAGGCGGCCGCCGGCGAGGCCGCTGCTGCGGTGGGGCGCCGGCCGGCCACGCGCTGGCTGCAGACAACGCTCGGCCTCGGCCTCCCCAGCCCAGCTTGCGGCCCCAGCCCGCCAGCCTCCGCGCCTTTCAGGCTCTTTAAGCTCAGAGATCGGGTTGGGGCTTCCCTGGTGAGAGGGTTTTTGGTTCCTAAAGGGGACAAAGTRATGCAAGCCAGCTTCCGCTTTTCCATTTTTCTCCCTTAGGCCTCTCCACTTGCGCAGCTCTCAGCCACCCGGAGATGACCGAAGGGGCTTCTGGGCTGCGTTGGGAGCTGACACTGCCCCCCGCCCATTCCAGCTTGGCTTCCCAAAGTCCAGCGACCTCCAACCCTCCTTGGGGGAAAAATTACCAGCACCCAGGCACATTAGCCCCCTGTCCTGCGTGACCTGGTTTCCTTCAGAAATATTTTACCACGAAGAAGAAAGAACAGCTTGGAGCCCTGTTTACATCTAGTTCTACTGATCCATTCACATCTGGAGGGTTTATTTATAACACCCTCTATAACTCTCTCTGTTTGGAAGCAGTGGTGGCTCTATTGACAGACTGATGTCTACAAAATATTGCTCTATCTCTAACCATACCTAAATGTGCTGTGGTTGTATTTACAGATTTATGCTTGAGGGAAATATAATTATTTCCATTGTATTTGTGCATATACAATAGTTATAGGAGCAGATTTATATATGGGAAAATATACGACTCTCTTATAGCCATACAGCTTTATGGACATTTGATATTCTGACAGATTTATATCCCTGAGCAGCTATATAGATAAATGTATATCGTTAGAATTATGTATCAGCAGATATATACTTATTGATTGTGATATAGAGTAGTTAGAGCATTCACTTAGAGACATATATGGCTATGGAGATATTTCTATATTATTATCACTATATATAGGCATATCTATTTATAACCACATAGTTATAAAAATAGACATAAGTAATTATAGTCCTATATGTACATGCTGCTATCTCTCTAGAGTTATAGACACTTTTGAATATAACTCTATAAAGATATCCATATGTATATAAGGTGTAATTATCTCCTGATGTGTGTGTGTTGGGACTTAGGCCAGTCTATCTCTGAATAGACATATTTATGTGTAGGGGCTGGGAGAGACTTGTTCAGCGAGATAACTGCAGAGGGCCATCTGTATCTGGCCATCTAGGAAACTTGCTAGCAGAGTTCTTTATTCAAGGAGGGATGAAATTACAAAAGGATAAACAGAGCATAGGAAGTGCCCAGGAGGGGAGGGAAATGGAGGGTGATGGGGCTCCCAGGAACAGATAGACAGGGAGGAACAGGGTAAACACTGGGCACTCACCAGAAGGTGACAGCCGATTTTGTGAAGGGCTGGCTGTGGACAGGTGTGGACCCTGTTACAAAGGGTGAACACTCCTACCACCCCACTGGGAGGCACCCTCCACTGAGGGAGCAGCCTCCTGTTAGACATTTAGTGCACCAAAGGTTAACTTTATTCTTAGCTCTTTTCTTTTGAACCCTAATTTTTGAAAGAGTGGGCTTCAAACTGGCACTGTGGTGCAGGCCTGTCATCCCAGTGACTAGAGAGGTTGAGGCAGGAAGATCACAGTTGGAGACCAGCCTAGACAAATTAATTACTGAGATCCTGCCTCAAAATAGAAAATAATTTTGAAGCTATAGCTCAGTGGTGAAGCTCCTGGTTTTAATCCTTAGTGAAAGAGGGAAGGGGGAGAAATGTTGATGAAGGGTGAAGAGGTATGGGAGGCACTGGGCAAGGAGGGGAGTGTACTTTTGCCACCACTGCTTTCTGGTAATGCAGCCAGGAAATTGAGGCAATCTGGTCAAATAAAGCTTGCTTTTATGGGACTTCCTGTGCCCCAGGAGCGACTGTGGATGAGACCAAAAGACCAGTGGATTTGAGGAGTGAATTTGTGAATTTTAGGCCTGTTCTGAGAAGACTTAGAGAGGTCTTCTTTACCACCTACCCCTTCTCCCAGACCTTCTCCCAGGGCCTCTGTCACCTAACTCGGCTCCACGGGCCTGTTCCTTCTTTGTTGCTTCCCCAGTTGAGGCTCCCTCTGGGTACAGTGGGGCCCATCCAGATCCATAACTACCCTTTTTGTGTAGAATTTGACTTTAAGAAGCAGGGGATACGGACCTAAGCCCCAGGGCCTCACTTGTTCCACTCATCCACACTGCTGTTTCTCCAGCTCTGTGGCAGGTACCATTGGGCCAAGACTGCACAATTCTTCCCCTGCTACCATCCATCCCAGGGGAAACACACACACACACACACACACACACACACACACACACACACACTTTGGTTGTTTTTTGTTTGTTTTGTTTTGATTTAACCAGGGAGTCCCAGATATCTTTGCTGAATGGTTTGTGCAAAAGTTTTCCTGAACTCGATCTGGGTGGCCAGCTCTGCACATCTTTAGGATGTTGGGAAGGGAGTAAAATCACCTGAGATGATGTTAAATGCCACATACCACCCTCCACACACCCCTACCCACAAAACTGGGAACTCATCCAGGTCAAGGCCTCTTTCTGCTGCCAGGCACACAGTGGATTCCAAATACACAATGCAGTTAATACAGAACCTCACCCTAACTCTGCATGCCACTGACCACCACTGCCTAGCAGGCACTCAGGTACCTGGGCTGGAGGCAACTTAGACAGTCTGGGGAATAACATGGTAACTGGCAGCAGTGCTTGTTCCGCCACCCTCTGCCTGTGGTTAGTAGGATAGGAGAGTGGCTCAAGTGGAGGGGAAGGGAAAGTTGTGGGGGGCCAAGGCAGGCCTGCCTCCTCAGTGTACGTTTGCTCCATTCCCTGTCTTCTGGGTCCCTAGAATCCCAAATTATGAAAACTAAACCCTAACAAGACCTGGCCTGGGAAGGAACTGCCTCTCTGTCTTGAGGGACCCAAAAAGGAACCACCCTCCATCAAGAAATATACAAATAGGAGCTGGGGTTGTGGCTCAGTGGTAGAGCACTTGCCTACATGTGTGAAGCACTGGGTTCGATTCTCAGCACCACATAAAAATAAATAAAGGTCCACCCATACCTAACAAAATATTTAGATAAAAGAAAAAAGAAAATTCTTTTAAAAAAAGAAATTCACAAATAAAATAAAAATAAGTCAGTGCAAGACAGTCTGTCAGAAGGAAAGCCCACTATTTCTCAGCCCTGCTCCAGGGACACCAAACAGATCAGACTTAATACTTTAAGTTTTTAATTTAGTAGTTTAAATATTTTTGGTAAAAAATTAACTTTAAAAATCTCACAATGGCCTGGGGGAGTGGCTCAGTACTCTTACACTTGCCTGACACATGCAAGGCCCTGGGTTCTATCCCCAGCAACTGCAAAATCAATCAATTGTTGAATCAATCAGCCAATCACAAATTTTTTCATTCTCAGATGCCCCCTAATCAGTTTGTTTTATATACACACACATATATGTATATTTTAGTTGTCACCATTATCCCCTCTTTGTTCCCTGTTAAAATTGTTTCTTCTTGGAGCTTGGGGCCAGGCAGTCACTGTCAGGGAGTGGAATGAGATTGCCAAGTTCGGGTTCCCCATCTAATGATTCCTGTCTGTAGGGAAGGGTCAGCCTTCCTCTCTCCCACAAAGGCTGAAAATTGGGTGGAGCCTCCAGATTTGGTTCCTTTTATCCTTAAGGCTCCTTAGAGGCGCCCACCCTGTGTCTAAGTGGCACAGTGGTGCAGGCTAAGGTTACATGGGGACTAAATTAAACCTGGGATTCCATTTTCTAGCCCCCAGCCTTTGACAGTTTCCTCCTCAGACTCACAGCTTTATTCTCCCCTCGCCACCAATAGGTAGTGCCCACAGGGATGGTTATGCTTTTCCTAAAGAAATGCAGGGAGGGCTGGGGCTGAGGCTCAGTGGTAGAACGCTTGCCTGGCATGTGTGAGGCACTGAGTTTGATTCTCAGCACCACATATAAATAAATAAAATAAAGATCCATTGACAACTACAATGTGTAGATTTTATATATATATATATATATATATACACACATATATGTGTGTGTGTGTGTGTATGTATATATATATATATATATAAATGCAGGGAGAACTGGGTGTTCTATATTTACATCTGTTTGCCTAAGATTTCAGGGCAGGTGTCTGGGCTCTGGACAGTATGGGATTGGGTGGGGGGCATTATTAAAAACATTAAAAAACTTCACAGTTAAGATAAGGACTGTTCTTGGTCAAAATGCAGGAAACCAAGAAGTATTGGCCAGTATTTTTTTCTAGTGAGTCCTATGTCCCTTTACCTGGGCTGGTGTGGCTCTTAGCTGGTTCTGGGTTCCTGACCCCTTTGAGAAGCTGACAAAAATTATTGGCCGTCTCACCAGCAAAATGCACACATACCCAGTGTCCTTGACAGTTGATGGGGTTATATGGAGTCCAAAAAGCCTGTGATCTCTAGGTAGAGAATGATCCCTGGTTTGTTTAATATCCCTGTCTTTCTGTGACCCCCTTCTCTCCCCACTCATCTGCCTTTACTTTTGCCCTTCCTGAGTTCCCTTGCTGTGGGGTTGGGGTGTTGTCAGGAAGTTCTTCCCTAGGTATAACCTCTGCCATTCTTAACAAATCACTTTTCCTTTTCTTCTTTGCTTGAGCGGGCACCTGGCAGAGGCTTATGATCAGCTATTAACTGAAGACTGGTCTATATTGCCCAATTACTCTACAATTCCTGAGAGTGGGGGAGTGCCTGGGGGCATATTGGCAGCAGTGGAAGCCTGGCTGTAGAGGGACCAATTCCCATCTCTAGTGGAAACTTGGATGCCAGGAGCAAGTTGCAATTGCTATAATAATAGTCATAATAATAACAATAATAATTTATTTAGCATATCATTAGATGTGTATTTACTGTCTTCCCTCTGCTTTTTTACAAGTGTCTCCTAAGGAATTCTCACAACACCCAGGGGAAACAATAATAAGCTAATTACCACCCTTCAGCTCCTTCTCCTCCTCCCATCCACAAAGTCACCCTCTCTGAAATGGAGCTTTTACAGAATGCTTTCCGTGTTTTACACCTGCTTAGCATGTTCTCCCCCATTTCCGATCCTCCCCTCCCATTCCTGTTTTTCTTTTCATCTGTATTAAGGAATATTCTCCATAATTCAGAGGAGGAAAGGTTGAGGAAAGGATTGGTCAAGACCCCAAAAGATCTACTTTATTAATAGTTACTCTGATACCACAGCAATTTTTAAGATAATGTCTGGGGAACCAATTCCTTACTTCTCTTGCTGCTCTTTTTAGGGCAGGCAGTGTTACAGAGAAGATTGGAGCTGCCATGAGGCCAAAATGTCTGAGTCAGGTGTAGGAGGGTAGTCAGTCCTGCAAATTTAATATTCACTCTGGTGTCTTTCCTGCTGTTTTGGGTCAGACCTCAGAACTGCTAGGTCCTACATATCCCATTGGCCTTTAAGGAAGGAAGAAAGGAAGGAAGGAAGGGGAAAGGGAGAGGCAGGGAGGGAGGGAGGGAGGTGGGTAGGAAGAAAAGAAGAAATATAGATGTATATGTGTGTTTTCCTGGGTAAATAGCCATGATAGTGGTTACATTTAAAAAAAAAAATTCAGGGCTGGGGTTGTGGCTCAGCAGCAGAGTGCTCTCCTATCACGTGCGAAGCCCTGGGTTTGGTCCTCAGCACCACATAAAAAGAAATAAATAAAATAAAGGTATTATGTCCAACTACAACTAAAAAATAAAATATTTTTAAAATGTTCAATTCTTTGCATTTTCAAATGTAAATTCTTATCTTCTCA